TACTGTCTCTAAGCTCTGAAGGCAGTTCCTTTGAACCTCATGGCTTTTTTTCTCATATAGTAAGCATTTGTCAGCTGTGAGGCCTTTTCTAATAGATGTGTGCTTTTCAAAATCATGTCCAATCAATTTAATTTACCACAAGTGGACTCCAATCAAAGTGTAGAAAACATCTCAGCAACAATCAAGAGAAATGGGAGACACCTAAGCTAAATCCAAGTGTTGTTGCAAAAAGGTCTGAATATTTATGCCAATGTCCTTTTTCATAAATTTCTAAAATTCTGTTTTCACTTTGTCATTATGGGGTACTGAGTGTAGATTAATGAGAAAAAAATAAATTTAAACAACTGTAGTATCAGACTGCAACATTCCAAAATTGAACAAAAAGTGAATGTGGTCTAAATACTTTATGAATGCACTGCACACAGGCCTTTTTTTTTCAGAGAATAGGTTCAGGAACTCAACCACGCCCCCCCACAAGCCCCCCCCACAAGCACCCACTCCTTCCTGTAGGGGGAGAGCACGCAGTATCAAAGGGTGGATGTGGCCAAATTGCCAAAATATGGGAGGACTTTGTAATGGCATTATTTAATACCATGAGTGCATTCTGCACAAAATTCAGGTGTGCACTACATACAGAGTTCAGGGTTCAGGAGTGCACTATGTACAGAGTGCTTGACTCAGGAGTGTGCTATGTACAAGGTGCAGGGTTCAGGGGTGCGTTATGCACACGGCACAAGGCTCAGGAGTGCACTATGTACAGAGTGCAGGATTCAGGAGTGTGCTACGTAAAAAGTGCAGGGTTCAGGAGTGCACAATGTACAGCGCACAAGGCTCAAAAGTGCGCTATATACAGAGTACAAGGCTCAAGAGTGTGGTATGTATAGGGTGCAAGGATTAGGAGTGCACTACGTACAAGGTATGGGGTTCTGGAGTGCACTCTATACAGGGCAGGGGTGACTGACAACTCATGGGGCCCCCGGGCAATAGGGGATTATGGGGCTCCTGTGTCCTTGCCCAAATCCAAAAAAAGCCTATGAAAAAGGTACCAGGGGCATCTCATGGGGCCCCCTACTGACCCCAAGCCCTCAGGCAGTGCCCGAGTTTCCAAATGGTCAGTCCGCCCCTGATACAGGGCACAATGCTCAGGAGTGCACTACATACAAGGTGCAGGGCTCCCAAGTGCATTATGTACAGAGTGCAGGGTTTAGACGTGGGCCATGTTGCGGGGCCAAAGCTCAGGAGTGTGCTACGTACAGGTGCAGGAGTGCGCTATCTACAGGGCACAGGGTTTAGGAGTGCACTACATACAGGGTGCACGTTTAAGGTTTAGGACTGAGGTATGTATAGAGCACAAGGCTCAGGGGTGTGCCATGTACAGGGTGCAGGGCTAAGGAGTGTACTATGTATTGGGTGCAGGGTTCAGGAGTGCATTACATGCAGGGTGTAGGGCTCAGTGGTGAGCTATGTAGAGGGTGCAAAACTCAGCAGTACCATATGTGCAGCATGCGGGGCTCAGAGTCTGCAATGTACAGGGTTCAAGTCTCTGGAGTGTGCTATGTACAGGGTTCTGAGTTAACTAGTGTGTATTTCACAGGCCAGTTTACCCCAAATTGGCAGCCCCCCCCCCAGTACAGAGCTCAACTGCCAAACCCACTGCCACCATCCCCCAAAAGCTGCCGCCGGGACTCTAGAGCGGCTGGCACATCCCTCGGCCCCTCCCTCCTCTGCTGTCATGGGGATAGTGCAGGGAAGGAAGGGCTGTTTGCATATCAGGAGAAGTACACACTGTCAGGAAGAAGCCTGTCAACTGGAGGAAGAGCAACTTGTCACCTGTAAACACAGAACCTACTGGGGTGCCGTGATGTTGTTTGACATGTGTCCCCTTCCATGTGCTCCTTGCTGTGAAGGCCAGTTATAGACTGGGGCAGCGGCCATTTTATGTACTGTTGAATTGTTGGCCGAGGGGGCGTACTGGACACCTTAGCTGCCATTGTGCTACATGCTCGGTGTCCAGTGCACTCCTGTACCTGTACCATTAAGGAGGGGTGGGCTCCCTCAGGTCCATATGCCGTTGGTCTATCCATTAAATACATGTGCCTCTACTATGGGGGCTCTTAAAATTGGAGAGTTAGGAACTACAGAATATCAGGGTGCCGTGATGAGGCTCTGTATCTTACGCATGTATTTTCAAATGTGTGCTAACTAAACCCCTGTTTTTAACGCATACTGTTAGACAGGTTAATTCGGTTTGTTTGCAGGCTGGCTGGCAAGTTAGAGCTGGGAATTTTTCTTTTTTGTTGTTTGACATGCATTGCTCCTTGCTGTGAAGGCCAGGTATAGACTGGGGCAGTGGCCATTTTTTGTACACACAGAACCTAAAGTTTGGTGTGAAAGTGACAGCAGTGGGCAAGGGGCTAGCACTATTCTGGCACATTTTGGCTGAAAATAAAGCCCTGACTGTACATATATATATAACACACAAAATAACGGAAAATTCTGTTATTTTGTGTGTAATGTTAATAAGGTTCTACCTTTATAGAAGCAGCAGCCTATTACTGATTAACACTGAGTGTGCACTATTTATTAGTGTGTGTACTAAGTGCAGGTGATTACTATCTAGTATATATATATATATATATATATATAATTATATACTGCTCAAAAAATTAAAGAAACACTTTGCAAACACATCAGATCTCAATGGGGAAAAATATCATGCTGTATATATATACTGATATGGACTGGGTAATGTGTTAGGAACGCAAGGATGCCCCATCATTTGATGGAAATGAAAATTATCAACCTACAGAGGACTGAATTCAAGGACACCCCGAAAAGCAAAGTGAAAAAATGCAGCAGACTAGTCAATTTTGCTGAAATTTGATTGCAGAAACTCAAAATGTTACTCACGTACTTGTGTGCATGCCTGACAATGTTGGGGCATGCTCCCAATGAGACGACAGATGGTGTCCTGGGGTATTTCTGGACTAGGGTATCACTGAGCTCCTGGACAATCTGAGGTGCAACCTGGCAGCGTCGAGTGGACCGAAACATGATATTTCAGAGGTGTTCTATTGGATTTAGGTCAGGCGAGTGTGGGGGCCATTCAATGGTATCAATTCCTTCATCCTCCAAGAACTGTCTGCATACTCTCGCCACATGAGGCCAGGCATTGTCATTCACCAGGAGGAACTCAGGACCCACTGCACCAGCATAGGGTCTGACAATGATTTCATCCCGATACCTCATGGCAGTCAGAGTGCCATTGTGTAGCCTGTAGAGGTCTGTGTGTCCCTCCATGGATACACCTCCCCAGACCATCACTGACCCACCACCAAAACGGTTTGATTAAAAAGTTTTCCTTGAATTTTTTTGAGCAGTGTATACAGTGCCTTGAAAAAGTATTCATACCCCTTGAAATTTTCCTCAACTTGTCATTTTACAACCAAAAACGTAAACATATTTTATTGGGATTTTATGTGATAGACCAACACAAAGTGGCACATAATTGTGAAGTGGAAGGAAAAGGATAAATGGTTTTCAAAATCTTTTACAAATAAATATCTGAAAAGTGTGGCGTGCATTTGTATTCATTCCCCTTTACTCTGATACCGCTAACTAAAATCTAGTGGAACCAATTGCCTTCAGAAGTCACCTAATTAGTAAATAGAGTCTACCTGTGTGTAATTTAATCTGAGTATAAATACAGCTGTTCTGTGAAGTCCTCAGAGGTTTGTTAGAGAACATTAGTAAACAAACAGCATCATGAAGGCCAAGGAACACACCAGACAGGTCAGGAATAAAGTTGTGGAGAAGTTTAAAGCAGGGTTAGGTTCTAGAAAAAAATTCAAGTTTTGAACATCTTATGGAGCACTGTTCAATCCATCATCCAAAAACGGAGAATATGGCACAACTGCAATCTTACCAAGACATGGCCTTCCACCTAAACTCACAGGCCAGGCAAGGAGAGCATTAATCAGAGAAGCAGCCAAGAGGCCCATGTTAACTCTGGAGGAGCTGCAGAGATCTACAGCTCAGTGGGAGAATCTGTCCACAGGACAACTATTAGGCGTGCACTCCACAAATCTGAAATTGAAAGAAAGCCATAAGATGTGCTGTCTGCAGTTTGCGAGAAGCCATGGGGGATGGTGGGGGGGGACACAACAAACATGTGGAAGAAGGAGCTCTGGTCAGATGAGATCAAAATTTAACTTTTTGGCCTAAAAGCAAAACGCTATGTGTGGCGGAAAACTAACACTAAACATCACCCTGAACCCACTGTGAAACATGGTGGAGGAAACATCATGTTTGGGGATGCTTTTCTTTAGCAGGAACAGGGAAGCTGGTGAGAGTTGATAGGAAGATGGAACTAGTCAAACACAGGGCAATCTTAGAAGAAAACCTGTTAGGCCTCTTTCACATGGGCATTCCATATGTCCGTTTTTCATCTGTCCATTTATGGATGAAAAACAGACACCCATGTATTTCTATGGACTAGCTTTTTTTGAACGGAAAATAGGGTTTTATTTACTTTTGTAAACAAAACCCGGAACGGACGAAAAACAGATGTACACGGATGAAAATGGATGAAAATGGATGTAAACAGATGAAAAACGGATGAAAAAACTGATGTAAGCTGATGAAAAACAGATGTAAACTGATGAAAAAATGGATGTAAACTGATAATTTTTTTCTTTGAAAAAACGTGACTGAACTGATAAAAAAAATGGAACACCAGTGTGAAAGGACCCTTAGGCCCTGATTTACTAATGTGCCTAGATGCATTTCCGTGGGCGAATGTCTACTTTTCAATAGCGACCGTCTACTTTTAGATGGAAAAACATTTACTAAAGAAATCGTCTAACAAGTAGACGCCAAATCGAATTTACTGTCCAATGCAGATTCATGATTCATCACTGAATATCACTTTCATCCAGTCATCCACTGTCCGTGATTGTTTTTCTTTAGCCCACTGTAACCTTATTTGTTTTCTGTTTAGGTGTTAATGATGGTTTTTCGTTTGGCTTTTCTGTATGTAAATTCCATTTCCTTTAGGCGATGTCTTACAATTCGGTCACAAACATTTCTGTATGTAAATCCCATTTCCTTTAGGCGATGTCTTACAGTTCGGTCACAGACATTGACTCCAGTTTCTACCCATTTGTTTCTCATTTATTTTGTTGTGCATTTTCTGTTTTCAAGGCATATTGCTTTACGTTTCCTATCTTGAAGCTTTGATGCCTTCCCTGGTCTACCAGTACGCTTCCCTTTTACAACCTTCCCATTTACTTTGTACTTGATCCAGATTTTACACACAGCTGACTGGGAACAATCAACATCTTTTGCAACATTCCATGATGATTTACCTTCTTGAAGAAGTTTTATAATCCTCTCCTTTGTTTCAACTGACATCTCTCATGTTGGAACCATGATTCATGTCAATCAGCTTGGTCCAACAGCTCACCAAGGTGTTCCAGCACTCTTTTTTAACTGCAGACTAATTAGCAGATGTAATCTGATGCAGATGTTTGTTTTAGAACTGTAAAGTACATGGTGATTCCATAGTATTTTCCTCAGAATTGAGTGATTCCATGTTTTTTTTCTCTGCTTGATCTGCAAAATCAGTTACAATTGACTACAGTTTTCTTTCCTTTTTATTTTATTTAAGTGTTTCTTAACCTCCTCGGCGGTATGATTCTTTCCGATTTTTTGTGCTGAAAGCGGTACATTTTTTTGCATGGAAATATGTAGTTTTTTTTATTGTAGGATGTAATTTTGAGGAATAACTCACTGAAATCTGTCCGAACAAGAGTCTAGTAAACATCCCGGGTATGAAAAAATTTGAAACACGAAATCATAAATTATAATTTAATAAATAATCATTAAAAATAATAATATAATAATAATAAATTTAATTCAATAATATAATCAAACCAAAAACACTGAAATTTGAAATACAGAGGCAAATTCGCACATCGCTGAGCAAAGTCGCAAAATAGTTTTCAGTGTCTGATGACGAATTTCCCCACGAATCATTATCACTCAATTCTGCAAGTGGTTCTAATTTACTATCGCTGTTCTCTAGCTGGTCTAAAACCGCTTTTGACGCAATGGGACGCTTTTTGGACGCCATGGACTTTTCTAAGTTTCCAGGCAGAAAGAACAGTCAAAATGCAGGCAGGGCACATGACAAAGCAGTAGGGACAAAATGTATGTGAAATGCATTGAAGCAGCAATGTTTTTTACTATGTAATAATCATTTTAAAAAAAAATGAAATTTTTTAAAAATTTCAAATTTGCCGCTGGTTCCGGCGCCCGTACGTCCCGACGTCACAGGGACCGGAACACGGAAGCCAGATGCCGGCATCGGCCAGAGGAGATGGCCGGGGACTCTGCAGGGGACACAACGTGGGAGCGAAGGACAAGGTAAGTGCTGCAGGGACTCCCTGAGCAACGCCGCATGGTAAGCCCGAGTGTAGCTCGGGGTTACTGCTTTTGGTACTGACATTTTACCCCGAACTGCACTTGGGAATGCCGCTAAGGAGGTTAAAAGATAAGTTCACCTTTTAGACAAAAATAATAAACGCACTTTTTTGCACTTAATAATTTTGTCTAGAGGAGCCTGGAAAGCATTGAACCAGTGATCAGTAGATTGCTGATGCCCTGCAGGTCTGTAGACCTGTCAGAATATCTGCTTGCCGTGCGAGATGTATTACACTGTTCAACAGGTAAAAAGTTTTGGGCATAAAATTAGCTAATCTTACATAATTTTGGGGTGCTGAAAACGAAAATGACCCTAAAAAATGTTGATTGGCTCTAGTTTCCATGATATATTCACCCATCTAATGACGTAAGCCATTCAAAATTATGATGCAACTTCAGCTGCATATTGCGCAATTGATACTGGTGACCAATAGAAAATTGCATGTATACTGAGATGATGCAATATTAGCCTTTAATTGCATCACTTCACTGCATAAAAGCTGCAGTATCTGTAGCTGATTGTAGTTCGACAGCGTCTTTACATTTCGTTTTATGCTTATATAGGCTACTCAGTAATGCCTCGAACTTGTGTGAATAAAGCAGATAATTTCTGCTATATCTGCGGTGAAATAACTTTTATCTCACAAAAAAGGAGGATAACAGGAATGATTAAGAAAGCCTACAACTTGTATTTTGGCTGCAAGATAGCAGACCAGGACAAGAGCTGGGCACCACATATATGCTGCAATTCTTGTGGGACGGCACTGGAGCAATGGTTGAATGGAAAAAAGGCATCTATGCCTTTCGCTGTGCCAATGATTTGGAGAGAGCCAACAGATCATGTTAGTAATTGTTACTTTTGTATGGTGCCTCCAATTGTAAAAGGGCTAAATAAGAAGAAAAAGTTATCTGTGCACTATCCAAATATTCCATTGGCAATACGTCCAGTTCCTCATGGAGAGGGGCTACCAATTCCTAAAGCACCAGAATCCTTCGTGGTTGAGTCAAGTGAGGAAGAACCTGAAGCGTGTAGTCACGTGCAGTTGTAAGAGATAGCCCTTTCCTCGAATACAAGAGAAAAGCCAAGAGAAGCAAAACCGACACAAACTGAAGACAAAACTAGTGAGAATCCTAAGTATTAAAATTAGAGATGAGCGAATCGAAGTAGCCGAAGTGGAATTCGAGTCGAATATCGGAAAAATTTCGATTCGCGCCGAATCCGAAAAATAGCCTAATTAGGACGCGCGAATCGAAATTTTTTCCGAAAATGGCAGCTGACATGTGCGGCGACGGAGCGGGGATGTCTGGGAAGGCGCGCAGACAAGGCGCGCTGACCCATAATGCATTCCTCAACGACATGTGATCGCATCAGCCAATCAGCAGCCAGCCAGCTAGCACTGTGTAATGGTCAAGCTATAAATAGCGGCCATTTTGGAATTCTTCATTTGCCTGCAGTCATTGAACAGAGGCAGACCGCTCTGTATTAGGGACAGGGACAGAGTTAGGGCCACAGAAACGA